TTTTTCTTTTTCATTTTTTATAATTTTATTTATTGAATCACTGAGCACACCCACACCCCACCCAGATTCTCCAAATTCCAGTAGGCGGGGGTGACACCCACCAACTGGCCCCCTGGCGCCGTGTAATCCCATCAACGGCCAAGACCCAGAGACTATAAAACCCAGCTCCCGGAAGAGAACAGCGCAGAGTCTCCTGCCCCCCCCCCCCCCCCCCCGTGCCTGGCTGTCCTCGCGGGGGCCCCTTGGAGGGGAGCGGGTTGAGTTTTCCTCCCCGCCCCGACCAGGGCTCCAGCAGCCAAAGACCTCCAGAACCAGCCACCACAATGCTGAGACCACTCTCTGCACACATGAAAGTACCGGCAGAGGAACAAAGGCATGCGTTTCCCGGGACTGAGATCTCCAAGCCTACTTGGATCGGGACTGAGCATCCTCCACCCAGATCCTCCAAATTCCAGTAGGCGGGGGTCACACCCACCAACTGGCCCCCTGGCGCTGTGTAATCCCATCAACGGCCAAGACTCGGACTATAAAACCCAACTCCCGCCAATGTGGCTTTGTGACATCTTATTATCTCCTTCCTACTTTGGACAAACTGGCAGGCTCCAGAATGTAATCTGCCCACATGGCAGAGTCTTGCAATCTCTCCGTGGTATACATACCCAATATGCCAAATACCAGTAACAATGAGGGGTCTTCATTCTCCTAACTCTGAAAGAGCCTTGAATATGGCACTTTTTAAAAAATCTCAGGGCTAGGACGAAGGAGACGTTACTGGGGCCTGCTCGAGGCAATCGACGAATAACAGGATGGTCGTGATTGTGATTGTGAATCACTGAGCAGTTACAAAGTTCTAGGGGTTAAGTCTTTGTCATACAATGAAACACCCATACCTTCACCAGTGCCCATTCTCCACTAAAAACCCCAGTATGTTCCCATCCCACCCCCTCCCCCTTACCTGTGGGGCAGATGATTTCCACATTACTCTCTACTACTTTGATTATATTCAGTATCTTGACACCTGACCCACCTTTTTTTTTTTCTTTTTGGGTCACACCTAGCAATGCACAGGGGTTATTCCTGGCTCTGCACTCAGGAATTACCCCCGCGATGCTCAGGGGACCATATGGGATGCTGGGAATCGAACCCAGGTCGGTCGCTTGCAAGGCAAGCGCCTTATTTGCTGTGCTATTGCTCCAGCCCCCTGACTCACTATTATTATTTGGGATTTTACCCCAACACTCGGATCTGCCAAAAAGGCAACAGTAGACAATTTGTTTTCTAATGCTGGTTATGAATAACGTATGATGTCACGCTGCAGTAGTAGCCGCGCAATTTTGAAATTCTAAAATTTTAACAAATCTGGAGGGATTTCTGCCAAAACCTGCTGGGTTCTGAGATTTGTTCCTGAGTCTCTGGGATCATGGCCGTTTAGCAGCTTGATCAGGAGCCAGAGAGGCCATTTGTGGGCGGCGACTTGGGGTTTCCTTGGGATGTGGGGGAAAGGGCTGACTCTGCCCCCATTCCATGAGGCCCTGTGTGTCTCATCACTGTGGGCCCAAACCTGACTGTCTAATGGCCTTTGGCGGATGGTGGCCACCGAGCCACCAAGGGGGTGCAGGTGGAGGGACAGCACCCTTTACCCCCTGGGGTGGCCCGGCGACAGTAACCTACTGCGGGGTCCGGATGCATTTTTGCCAAAAGCCGCTGGGTTTCGAGATTTGTTTCTGAGTCTCTGGGATCATGGCCAGTTTGATCAGGAAACAGAGGCCATGTCTCCAATTATATAGCTGAGCTGGAGGTGGTTTGTGGGTGAGTCTCTCACATACCTAACTTTTGACCGTTTACTTTCTTGGTAAACTTTGCCCCAAGTTTTTGGGGTCTGGTCAAAGGCATAGCAGCAGTTTGGGGGTATCTGGAAGTCTAAAGGCGCCATCAGGCTGCTGATGCACACGCCTTACAGGTACAGATTGACCTGCTGGCGGCAACATAATCCCAGTCTTCCACCTTTTAAAAAAGTGTCAGATCAGTCTGTATGTCATTGACCTGCTCAGATTATTTCTAAAGGAGGTGTTTTTTTTTTTTTTTTTTTTTTTTTTTGGGTCACAGCCAGTCATGCGTAGGAGTTACTCCTGGCTCTGCATTCAGGAATTACTCCTGGCGGTGCTTGGGGGACCATATGGGATGCCAGGGATTGAAATCAGGTTGGCTGTGTGCAAGGCAAATGTCTTACCTGCTGTACTATTGCTCTGGCCCCTCTAAAGTTTTTAATACAAGTAACCAACGTCCTTGATAATCTGGAGAAGCTTTAGCAGTGGAATTGCTGAGTCAAACGGTTACACCACAATGAATGGCACAGTGGAGGTACTGGGTGATCAGAAACGTGTGTAGCAGCTGCCTGTGGGAAGGAACAAGACGAAAAGCACCTAGCCTGGTCCAGCTTGGTCTGAACAGGATGTGGGGTGAGAGGATACACTAGACTGAACTACCGGCCTCCTTCCTGGAGTGGCAAATGCCAAGGAGGAGCAAATAGTGACAGTAGTTAATGGGTTTCTTTTAAAATAATGGTCTAAACAACCTGCTTCCTCATTTTGTCTACCACCTGATATATTGAGGGCAATCTCCACGCAGTCCTTGGAACGTTAAGGCCTGACTCCTAGGGCCTCCACATGCAGTGTGCCTTCTAGGCCTTTGAGCCAACTCCCTGGTTCTAGCATTTGTATTTAGTGGGTTGTGTCTTGTTTGGGTGTTTGGGTGCTTAACAGGAGATTCCTGGCTTCTGGGTGTGATCCCTGTAACCCAAGTCTCCAGCATACAAAGCATGTTCTCCAGCGGGTTGTCCTCTCTGGCCTTAGAACTGTTTTTTCAATATCCTGTTGGTTCTGATCTTCCAGAGACAATCTATGCATATACTGAATTCTGTGTATTACAGCTATCTCTAACCATCTTTACATCAGCCAGTTATTTTTGTCTTATGTCTCATCTCTGCCAGATAGTTTCAAAATTTTCCACTTTGAGATTATTCAGAGAGGTGGGGAGAGAAGTGGGGGAGAGAGGAAATAGGAAGGGAGGGAGGGAGGGAGGGAGGGAGGGAGGGAGGGAGAGGGGAATGGAGGGAGGACAGAGACAGAGACAGAGACCCTGGTGTACAGAGCCAAGAGTAAACCTTGAGCATTGCTGGGTTTGAAAACCTTCTCCCCCACCAAATAAATAAAAACAGAAAACTCAACCAAACAAATAATAAAGGTAAAGTCGTTGCCTTTAAAAGAGCATCGTTTCTTTTGACTTTTGAGGATAGAACTTGGGCCTCCCGGTTGCAAAGCACACACTCAAATACAGAGCCTCTGGCCCTAAAAAATTATTTTTGGGGGAGTGGGTGGGTGCTACACCTGATGATGCTCAGGGGTTACTCCTGGTTCTGCACTCAGAAATTACTCCTGGTGGGGCTGGGGACCATATGGGATGCCGGGAATGAACCCAGGTTGGCTGTGAAGAAGGCAAGTGCTTTATGCACTATATTTTCCGGCTCTTTTTTTGTTTTTTGGGCCACACCTGGTGATGCTCCTGGCGGGACTGGGGGGCTATAATGGGATGCTGGGACTCAAATGCAGGTTGACCATGTACAAGTCAAGTGCCCTACCTCTCTCTGGCCCTGAGCTCACTTTTGGTAGGGTGGAGTGGGGTGGGGTTTGGGCGATGCTCAGGGTTTACTCCTGGTTTGGCACTTAGGAATCACTCCTGGTGGGCCCTGGGGACCATATGGGATGTCGGGGATCGACCCGGGTCAATCACATGCAAAGCAAGCGCTATACTGTTTCTCCTGTACCTCCTGAGATAACTTTTTAATTAACATAGTGCAAGTCATGATTATATTTGCAAGGCAGCAGTTATTCAGCCAGTAAGCCAGCGAACATTTAAATGTTTCCCATTCTAGTACTACATTGCTATAGCTGCAAGGAACAGAATTCTACAAGTTAACCATCTGAACTTGGAGGACCTTGAACTGGGGAAATGAAGCAACCTGATTGTAGCATTGTGAGAACCAGAGAAGGCTCAACAGAAGTTTCTTTACATAATAAAGGTTTACATATTTTATGCACTATTTTGTACATAATTCTGTAAAAAATAAAAATTTCTGTATAGAAATCACAAATCATCCTGCTATTCGTCGATTGCCTTGAGCAGGCCCCAGTAACGTCTCCTTCATCCTAGCCCTGAGATTATATTCAAGGCTCTTTAGGAGAATGAGACCCATCATTGTTACTGGTATTTGGCATATTGGGTATGCCACGGGGAGTTTGCCAGACTCTGCCATGTGGGCAGGCTACATTCGGTAGCCTGCCAGTTTGTCAAAGTAGGAATGAGAGGTCATAATAAGATGTTGAGCGGGTTGAGCTTTCCTCCCCGCCCTGACCAGGGCCCCGGCAGCCGAAGACCTCCAGGACCAGCCACCACCATGCTGAGACCACTCTCCGCACACCTGAAGGTACCGGCAGAGGGACAAAGCCACGTGGGTTCCGGGGCCGAGATCTCCAAGTCTACTCGGATTGGAGTCGAGCATCCTCCACCCAGATCCTGTATAGAAAAAGAATTAAAAAATTAACGTCTCCGGGGCTGGAGCAATAGCACAGCGGGTAGGGCATTTGCCTTGCACGCGGAAAACCCAGGTTCGATTCCCAGCATCCCATATGGTCCCCTGAGCATCGCCAGGGTTGATTCCTGAGTGCAGAGCCAGGAGTAACCCCTGTGCATCACCGGGTGAGACTCAAAAAGAAAAAAACAAAAAATTAACGTCTCCGATTCTTTTCACCACTCTAAACAACGTCGTGCATAAACTCCGTTCAGACCGTTCAGCAGCAGTGCGCTTTATTTAATCGGGCCGGGTTCCTACTGGGCCAAAGGGTTCATTTCTATGCCTTCGCAGCCTTCCGCAGAGGCAATTTCCGGTTGCCCCTAGTAAAGATGGCGGCACAGAGGGCGTCACTGCCGCTAGCCTACAATACCGTTGCCCTCGTCCAACATGGCGGTCTTCCGGCCCGCCCCCTTCACTTCCTCTGCTCCGGGATTCCAGCAACTCGGTCGCAATGGCGGTGGCGGCGGTGACTTTTCGCACTCTCCGATATCTACTGGCAAGACGTGAGTCTCCTCTTGATCTCCGGGGATCCACCGCGCATTCACGTTGTACAGTGACTCAAAGAGGAAGACCTTTGAAAGCCAGGTTCCGATGCCTCTTAGAATCTGGTTCCTTCCCAAGCAATCCCAGTTCTGTGGGGTCGGGTGGGGTCGCTAACAGCGAGCGCACTGTCCCCGTCTAGGGTCGGATCCCACGATTGTTCACACTGAGAAAATCTCTTAGGGACTTGTGTCCTTCTAGTCTAAGGTAGGTCCTCTGCTGTCGACGGCGCAGTGTCCCATGCACGGGGTGACATACCTTCTTTGTCTCTCCAGGACTGACAACCCCCACCCCACTCGGCCTTAGCTGTCGCCCTTTGAGTTCTGCGGTGCCAGAGGAGGCTGCCTCCAGAGCGGCTCCCAGTGAAGCCCCAGGCCACAGCTATGAGTCCCTCAAAGTGACATCTTCCATGAAGCATATTCTGCACGTGCAGCTGAACCGACCCGAGAAGAGAAATGCCATGAACAAAGCCTTCTGGAGGTCTGTTCTGCAGGTCTGGGAGGCCTGTCAGGCTGCAGGAGGCAGGAGCAGGGGGACTGGGGAGGCAGTGGGCATGGGGGAAAGATCCCCCAGCCCAGACACAGCCCTTCACTCCTTGCTCCTCTACAGGGAGATGGTGGAGTGCTTCAACAAGATAGCCCAAGATGCTGACTGCAGGGCCGTGGTGATCTCTGGCGAGGGAAAAATTTTCACAGCAGGTATGTGTACTCTCCAAATGCACCCTTGCATCATCTCTGGACTGGAATAGGGCAGCGCTTCTTAGGGGTTTTGTTTGGTTTTGATTTGGGGGTCATGCTCCAAAATGTAGCGCTTGGGAGCTACTCTTGGCCCAGCACTCAAGGGCCACTCACAGTGGTGCTTGAGGGACAGGGACCATGCTGTGCCACGGATTGAATTTGGGCCTCCAGCATGCACAGCATGCTCTCGGTCCTTTGAGCTCTTAATTAAGATCTCAGGCCCTTAATTAAGATTTTAAGCAGTTTCTACTTTTTATCATTGAAAATTTCTATGCATTCATATGCAGGGCGTATTCCAACTGTACAGACAGGCTGAACTGAGGCTTTTGGTCTGGGCCTGTGGCCTTGATCCTTAAGGATCTTTTAAGTTCTCGGGGTCTATTTTTATGTGTCATTAAAATATTATTATTATTATTATTATTATTATTATTATTATTATTTTGCTTTTTGGGTCACTCCTGGCGATGTACAGGGGTTACTCCTGGCTCTACACTCAGGAGTCACTCCTGGCAGTGCTCAGGGGACCATATGGGATGCTGGGAATCGAACCTGGGTCGGCCGCGTGCAAGGCAAACGCCCTACCCACTGTGCTATCGTTCCAGCCCCTCATTAAAATATTATTGTCATCATATTAACATGTTCTCCTGTCATTCCATAGCACTCATGTGCTGATTTCCGTTTACATGGCCGTTAAATCTTGTTTTGATTTATTTGGTTTGCCCCCATCCCTTTGTTATTGTTGTGAAGATAAGGGTTGGACACACACAACTTGCCTGTGGTGTTGGGGTGGGGGGGTGTGTCCCTCTGCCAGAGTTGTCCCGCTCACGTGCTTCTGCTTGTCCCTCTCCCTTCCACTGGGGGGCGCTGTGGGGCTAACCCACGTTGGTGGGAGGTGGCACACTGTTGCACTCTTGGAGCAGTCCAGTTTTCAGGGAACGCTCAGTCCCTATGGGTGGTACTGGTGACCAAACTGTTGCCTCAGACTTGCAAGGCAGGAGCTTTTGCCTATGAGCCATCCTCAGAGCCTCTGTTTGATTTGTTAGTTGATCCTATTTCTGTTTTTGACACTGGGTCATTTCTACTGACCAGATCCTCTGCTTAAGGATCGTCTCTGGCAGTGCTCAAGAGATCAAATGTGGTGCTGGGATCAAACCAGGGTTGACTGCTTGCAAGGCTTATGCCTTCACCCCTATGCTATCTCTCCAGCCCTCAATTAGTGATTTCCTAAAAATTGCAGTTATTGGGGCCTGAAAGATTATACAGCAGGTAGGACATTTGACTTGCATCCAACTGTCCCAGGTTCAAGCCCCAACTCCCCAAATGGTTCCCTGAGCCCTCCAGAGGGATCGCTGAGCACAGAGCCAAGAGTAAGTTTTGAGCACAGCCAGGTGTGGCCCAATACACCAAAGCAAATATACAAAGTTCGTAAAGTAAGTAAGTAAAGGCCCTCCTGTTGTTCATCGATTTGCTCGAGCGGGCCCAGTAACGTCTCCATTGGAGATTTTGTTGTTACTGTGTTTGGCATATCAAATACATCACGGGTGGCTTGCCAGGCTCTGCCGTGTGGGCGAGATACTCTCAGTAGCTTGCCGGGCTCTCCGAGAGGGGCGGAGGAATCGAACTCGGGTGGGCCATGTTGGCTGCGTGCAAGGCAAACGCCCTACTGCTGTGCTATTGCTCCAGCCCAAAGTTCAGTTACTATAATTTTCAGTCCTCACAGTTCCACTGGATTCATTTTAACATTTTTTATTTCTCTGCTAAAATTTCCTATTTTGTTTTATGGGCCACATCTGGTGGTACTTAGGGATTACTCCTGGTTCTCCACCCAGGAATCACTCCTGGAAGGCTTGGGGAACCATGTGGGGTGCTGGGGATTGAACTGGGTCATCTTTTTGCAAGGCTAATGACCAACTCGCTGTATTGTCTATCACTCTGGCCTCTTCTCCAACTCTCTTCTTCCATGACTTAACTTCCTTTAGCAAACAGTCAGGTCACTTCTGTTAATCTCCTTCTTGGGCACCAGGGACCTTGAGATTGGCAACTACTGTAGTTTTATATTTGGGGGGACACACCCGGAAATGCTCAGGGCTACACCCTACCTGCTGTGCTATCTCTCTGGCTTCGATACTCTAGCTTCTGACCCCCACCCTCATGTAGCATATGTGTGAAGAGCAAAAGGTGAAGGTCAGGGGCCTGGATAGAGTACAGCGGTTGTTAACGCACTTGCCTTGCCTGTGACTGCAGCTGTGCCAAAGGTTTGAACTCTGGCATTTAGGTATGGTCATGAGAACCACTGGGTTTGGCACACCCATGTCCCAAAATAATGTAGGTGAAAATTAGGTCCTCTTGGAGCAATAGTACAGCGGGTAAGGTGGTTTGCCTTGCATGTGGCTGACCGGGATTAGATCCCAGGCATTCATATGGTCCCCTGAGCATGGCCAGGAGTAATTCATGAGTGCAGAGCCAGGAGTAACCCTTAAATATTGCCGAATGTGACCCAAAATTTAAAAAAAAAGAAGAAAGAAAGTTAGAAGTTAGGTCTCTCTGGGAGGCGGCTCTGTCCTCTTGTCCAAGCAAGAGCTTGACGTCCAGATCAAAGAAACTTCACTGACTATTGAAAGGATCTGATTTATCAGACCCTAAAAAGAAGCAATTGGGACATTGGGTAGGGTGCTTGCCTTGCACATGGCCGACTCAGGTTCAATCCTGGGCATCCCATATAGTCCTTTGAGCCCTCCAGGAGTGATCCCTGAACACTGCTGGGTGTGACTAAAAAAAAAAAAAAAAAACAACAGCTCATGCTTATTCTCAGGGACCCATATTATTCATTCTCACCACAGCCCTGCCTGACAGGCCCCATTTCCATCTGACATGAGGACACTGAGGCCCCACAAAGGGGAAGACTGTGCCCTGTGCTCACAGTTGGCAGGAGGCAGAAAGGAATTTTGAAGGCGGGGTCGGGGCTGGCATTGCTCCCAACTGGAGCCCTACCAAAGGGCGGGACTCTGGCCTGGGCCTCCAGTCTCCCTTACCCACAATGAACTGGGTTTATTTCCTGGAGAAAATGAGGGACCCAAGGTTTCCCTGCAAAGTAAACACAAGTTCCGCTTTCCTGCTCTGACTCACCATACCAAGGACAAATCTGGATCTGCTGCGCCCTGAAACTCGGGCACAGTGTTCTCAGCAACTCATCCTACTGCACCTCACCCCCTTTTTAGGAAGAAGCAAAAACACCCTCCCAAAGACCCCCAAAACCACTCAGTGTCTGCCCACTTCAGTTACACCCAGGGCTACAATGGCCCCTTTGCATAGTTACAGTGCACCTCAGAGGAGTGGGACAAGACCACCCACTTTAGGAGACCAATCTCTCAGTTTATGGGGGCTTCTCTGCAAGAGCTGTTTATACTCTTCTTGGAGGAGTAGGAAGAGGAGGCACACCCACTGGTGCTCAGGAACTACTCGTAATTCTGTGCTGGGGGTGCTTCTGGTGTGATTGGGGGGACCATGCAATCAGGGGATGGAACCCGGGTCTCAGCCCCCTCAGCCCACAGAGCCATCCGGTTCTTACTTTGGGGTGAAAGGGGACACCTGTCCGGGGAGAGGAGTAGATGGTTCCTTTGTTCCGTGCTGACAGACACCCGGGTCTATACGTAGGTGGGTGGGTGAACTGGGAAAACGGACGGGCAGGGAATTCAGCCCAGCGGAGCCTGCTGATCCCAAAGGCCCCGCCCCCGCTGCACTGCCAAGGCAATAGCGCGCCAGGAGCCCTGCCCAGGGCGCTGGGCTCTGTGCCCCGGAACCGCTGCTTCTGCACCTGCCCTCCTCGTACAGAAAAGCTGCCCAGAGCATGAAGGTCACTTCTGCCCTCGCCAGCACTTTATTAAACAAAAACTACAGAGGCCCAGAAAGCTGGGGTAGGGCCATGTGTGGAAAAGGGCGTGGGGAAGGGAATGATTAACCTCGGAGGAAGAAGGGGAGTGTCATTCGACCGGGCCATACTGGGGACCTGTTGCCCTGACCCTCTGGCCTTCTGCCCCTCCACCATCTGCTCAGCCCCCTCACCGGCTCCCTCCCACTGGCCACGCCCCTGGGTTTGGCTCCTCCCACTTTTACCACTCTCACCTCCAGGCTGACCAGCGCCCTGACCCTGGGGCTTCTCCAAACAAAGGACGGACCTAAAAATTTTTCTTTGGGGGGATCTGTTATAGGCCACTCACTGGTGGTGCCCAGGCCTTACTTCTGGCTCTGCACTCCTGGATCACTCTTGGTGGACTCCGCGGGGGGTGGGGGTGAGGGTGGGGGGGACCATATGGGGTGCTGGGGATGGAACTTGGGTCAGCTACGTGCAAGCAAAGGCCCTACCTCTGTACTATCTCTCCACCCTCAGGACTTTGTTTCATAGGGCTTGCCTAGTGACTCCAGGCCAGCCGCTCCCAGTCGTGCAGGAGGGAGGATATGGGGGTGTTGGGGATCAAATCCTGGGCTCTCACAGGCAAAGCATGCACTCCAGTCCTCTGAGCTAGCTCCCTGGCCCTGGGATTCATCTCCCAAATGTTCCTGGAGCTCCTTGCTTCTCCTTCAGTTTCTTACTCCATGCCACCATTTTTCTTTCTTGTTTTTGGGCAGTGCTCAGGGTACTCCTGGCTCGGTACTCAGGAATTACTCCTGGTGGTACTCAGGAGGCAATATGGGGTGCCGGGAATCACACCAGGGTTGGCCCTGCAAGGCAAGTGCTGTACTATCCACGGTGCTCTCTGTCCAGTGCCTCCATGCCACTTTTCCACCCCTGAGGACCTCAGACCCCCCACTGACCATTGCAATACTTCTTCCTCCCCCCTTCCCCTACACTCTTCTTTTTCCCTTAGCCCTTCCACCACCTGGTGGAATGTCACCCCTTTGTCTCCCCCCCGGAAGGGCAGCTGTAAGAGGCCAAGGGTGATATCCTGGGTCTGTCTCTGTGTATGAGCCCTGGCTAGGCTTGGGGGAGACAGAGATGGACAGAATGCCAGACAAGACAGTGCCTCATTCTTGGAGCTGCTCACTTAACACAGTGTAAGTGCAGGGGAGAGGGCTTCAAGGGCTGGGGCATGTGCCTGACCCAGGTTTGATCTGGGTACCCCTCCTCTGCCTCCTTCCCTCCTCCCCAGCACTGCTTGGGGAACCTCAAAAGATAAGCACTGTGATAACAAGAGGGAAGTGCAAGCAAATAAGGCCTGGGAGGAGGGGCTGCTGTTCTCTGGGGTGGCCTTTGAACTGTGCCCTGATCAAGCTGCGCTCTGATCAGCTGTTCCCTGAGGGGTGTGGGGAGGGCATCAGCTGGCCTGGGGCAGGAGGTGGGGCATTCTGGGTGAGTCCTGAACCTGGACTTGAGAAGGCACCTGGAGAGGCGGCAAGTTGTGAGGCTAGAAGCACTGTAAGAGGCCAGAAGGCCCAAAGAAATGCTGGGAAGTGATGTCTGTGTGCCACTGGGAAGGTCTTGACTAAGACCTCTTATCTTACTTTTTCCCATTGAATCACCATGAATAACAAAGTTCCAAAAATATTTATGATCTAGTGTCAAGCATATATTGGTTTTTTTTTTTTTTTTTTTTTTTTTTGCTCTTGGGGTCACACCCGGCAATGCACAGGGTTACTTCTGGCTCATGCACTCAGGAGTTACTCCTGGCGGTGCTTGGGGGACCATATGGGATGCTGGGAATCGAACACAGGCTGGCCGCATGCAAGACAAACACCCTACCTGCCCTGCTTTCTCTCCAGCCCCAAGCATATATTGTTAAAACCACCCATTTTGTCACAGAGAAATGGCTGGGAGGGACAAGAGGGCTTCCTTTGTTGGGGGTGGGGTGGGGCAGATGCCTTGGGCAGGGCTGGGAGGCCAAGACTGGAAACTGGCTGCCAGGGGAGAGGCAGTGGAGAAAGAATGGTGGGAAAGGTCAGATTGAGAATGACTTTGGAGCTGGCGCTGCTAAAGTGGCTTCATGGGCTGTGAGAGTAACTCCTTCAGCCAACGTGTGCTTTGCATGTACGAGGCTCTGATTCTATCCCTGAGCATCATGAGGTGTGACACCCATCTCTCACCACCACCTCAGTGCTAGGCTGGGTGTAACCCCCCCAAATGAACGAAGCCACAGCTGCAGGGGCTAGAGAGAGATCAGCAGGCTGGGCGCTTGCCTTGCATCCCCTGCATCCCATATGATCCCCTGAGAACTTCCAGGAGTGATCCCTGAATGCAGAGCCAGGAGTAAACTCTGAGCATTGCTGGGTGTGGCTCAAAACTAAACAAAAACACCAACCAAAAAATTACCCTCCCCAAACCAAGGCTTCATCCCCAGGTCATTCTGTCTTGGAAAATGTGGTCTCCAAACCATGACTCGGGCGGGGGGGGGGGGTGGGTGGGTGGGGAGATCTCTGGCCTGACAGTGAAAAGCATGAATCTGGGCCACCTGTGGGGTTCTGTGTGTACTAACCCTGTTGCACTCCACACAAATGGGGGACAGAGTCTCACCCCACCACACAAGGACTCACTCATGGTGTCGGACTATGAGACTGAAGCAGGGGTGACTCTTGCTCACAGGCTGCCCCTCGCTGCCCACCATCTCCCCCATGGCGGTTTGGGGATTGCTTTAGTTGGGGCTCAGGGTGGGAGTGGGGGAGGGGAGGTTCCTAGTTAGTGAACTTCCTCATGCCTCCTGGCCAGGTATCGACCTCATGGATATGGCTTCGGATCTCCTTCAACCCCGCGGAGATGATGTGGCCCGCATCAGCTGGTATTTGCGTGACCTCATCAGCAGATACCAAGAGACCTTCAGCGTCATCGAAAAGGTAGTGGCTGGGGAGCCGGCAGGGCAGGATCCCCATCCCCTCCCCCCATAGCCAACCTGACACCATATCCTTGTTCCTTGTAGTGTCCTAAGCCTGTGATTGCCGCGATCCACGGTGGCTGCATTGGTGGAGGTGAGTAGCAAACCCGGACACCTATTGGCAGCAGCCCTTTGGCCTCAGCCAATGACCTTCTGCTTCAGGCTAATTAGACTTCATCCCAGTCAATCACCTCTTGGGGGGAGGAACCGGGGACCTGTGATTCATCAGTGCACCTGGTCTCTGCCACCTAGGTGTGGACCTCATCACCGCCTGTGACATCCGGTACTGTGCCCAGGATGCTTTCTTCCAGGTCAAGGTGAGACCTGCTTCCTTGGGTCCTGCTTAATGCTGGCCAGTGATTGGAGGATGAGGGCTGTTTTGTGTGTGTGTGTGTGTGTGTGTGTGTGTTTGTGTGTGTGTGTGTGTGTGTGTGTGGTGTGGGCAGAGCGGGAGTGAAATACCAGTGATGAAGGGTGAAGGGCTTGGAGTGAGTAAGAAAGGAAGGTTTCACAGAAATTTGTCCCAAAATTTAATATTTTAAAAAAATATTAGGGGCTGGAGTGATAGTACAGCGGGTAGGGCATTTGCCTTGCACGCCTCTGACCCGGGTTCAATCCCTGGCATCCAATATGGTCCCCTGAGCACTGTCTGCACTCCTAAGTGCAGAGCCAGGAGGAAACCCTGAACATAGTCGGGTGTGATACAAAGAAGCAAAATAAATAATAAAGCAAATGCATTTAAAATTGTTTTTAGGGAGCTGGAGTGATAGCACTGAGGGTAGGGTGTTTGCCTTGCACGCGGCCGACCTGGGTTCAATTCCCAGCATCCCACATGGTCCCCTGAGCATCGCCAGGGATAATTCCTAAGTGCAGAGCCAGGAGTAACCCCTGTGCATCGCCAGGTATGACCCAAAAAGCAAAAAGAAAAAAAAATTAAAAAAAAAAATAAAATTGTTTAAAAAAAATTATTATTTTGTATTTTGGGTTACATCTGGCTGTACTCAGGGCTTTCTTCTGACTCTGCATTCAGGGATCAGCCTAGGCGGGGGTCAGGGCATAACATAGGGTGGTAGGAATCGATGAACCCAGGTCGTCTGCATGCAAGGCAAGTGCCCTATACTAACGCTCCAGTTCCAACCAATCAGACCTTCCAACTCAAGCCCTGGGACTGGTCCGCCTGCCTTCCATGTGTGAGGCCCTGGGTTAGGTTTCTGTGTCAGCGCACGTGGGCGAGTGTAATCAACAACACGGGTGTGATCCCGGCAAGCACAAGCAACTAATGTGTGTCCCCACGGGACATCACAGTGACAGAAGGAAGAGGGGACAAGGAGGCTTGATGGTGGGGGAGAGCAGGAATGGGTCCTGAAGCGGCAGGGAGGCTGGAGGGGATGAAGGTATGGAAGGGGGGGGGGCGCGGGGGGTGTGGTGCTGCTGAAGTGGGTGCTGGAGACCGTGGCATGGAGGGGACAGTGAAGGAGGGTACTCCCCCTTCTACTCCTGTCCCCCCGTAGGCAGACGTGGCTGATCACGATGCACCAGAAAGTAACTGAAAAGCCGGAGGAGGGAATGGAATGGGGTGTTTGTGGAGGCCGGAAGGGCAGAGCAGGGGATCAAGCCCCCGCCGTGTGTGACATATACCTGTTCTCCCCAGGAGGTGGATGTGGGTTTGGCTGCTGACGTGGGAACTCTTCAGAGACTGCCCAAGATCGTTGGGAACCAGAGGTGGGTGGAAGCGCCGAGGGGAGGGGACGGCAGGGCAACACCTGGTTACCCCCTGACAATTGCTCTGTCCTCTTGCAGCCTGGTCAACGAGCTGGCCTTCACCTCCCGCAAGATGATGGCTGACGAGGCCCTGGGTTGTGGACTGGTCAGGTAGGGCCTGCCGGTGCTGGTGGAGACCTCAGGGGCCAGCCAAGCCTGGCAGGGGCTCTGTGGGTGGCTTGTAACCTCGTCCACTCCGTTGACTTCTGCGGGAGGTTAGTTCTCAATGCTGATGCACGGTGCTGTACTCTGATTGGTTCGTTTCACTGGGGGTGGGTGGGGCATTATCTTCCGCTTTCTATCGTGATTGATCATTTCTTTATCCATGAGTGGGAAGGAAGCAAGCGCTTCCCCAGCCAAAGATTCCTAATTCCTGGCCCTCTTACTTCCTAGCCGGGTGTTCCCAGACAGGGAAACGATGCTTGATGCCGCCTTTGCCCTGGCAGCCGAGATCGCCAGCAAGAGCCCTGTGGCGGTGCAGGGTACCAAAGTCAACCTGATCTACTCTCGAGACCATTCGGTTGAGGAAGGTCTCAAGTACATGGTGAGGCCCCATCCAACCAATCACGGCCTTTTCTGATCCTAAGAGCAGCCAATCAGGACCCACTGGGGGCGGGGTCACTGACTGGTACCTTATTGGCTTCTTGGCTGTTTGCATCAGTCCAGTTCCATTCCCTCCATACTATCCAGAGCTCCTGGAATATGGCCATGCTGCAAACGGATGACATCATGAAGTCTGTCCAGGCCGCAATGGAGAAGAAAGATCTCAAGAGTGTCACCTTCTCCAAACTCTGAGAGCGCTCCTTCCAGGGCAGGCCCGGGTTCTGGCCATGCCCCCACCTGGGGATCTGTGTTCTCTCCTGCAGAGAGATGGAGGATTAGTGAAGCTGTTTGCCTCAGTGCCTTCTCCCTCAATCTCCTGGTTTCTAACCCAGTGATAAGGATTTCCTTCTGCCCATGGCTGTATCTTGGGCCCGTGAATAAAGCAATCTAAAGAACTCTGTGTCCTCCTTGGAGAGAGGGGTGGGAAGAGTCTGGTGTGTGTGTGTGTGTGTGTGTGTGGTGTGGTGTGTTGGGGGGTGTGTGAGTTCACCATGCATGTGGGAGTGCTGCAATGACTCATGCATTCGGTGGATGAGAGCTGTCCTCTCCAGCAGAAGGAGAGACAGGGAACCACAGCCTGATGGCGAAAATGTCCCGTTTAATGCAGAGCTGCTAGCATACTTATAGAACATCTGAAGGGGACAGAGATATGGAGTGTCTAAATATAATGTATTGTACAGTGTATAGTATAGTACATGTCCATGTGATTTACAGAGGTAAAACAGTCCAGTAGAGGCAATTCTCTTGGGGAGATAAACTCAAGGAGACACTCCGTCTCCAAGGGATATCTATATTGCTTTTCTCTTTCCCCCTAGTAATATATATATCAAACAACCAAGTCAAACAATTAGGCAAACAGTTCATTCTACTTCCCAATACTTGCAGTTGCTTGGATAAACACAGTAAGAGACAAAGATCCTAACATTTAGGATCCTAAAATCTGGGCTCTGAGAGCAAGTGAGCCTTTTACTGTAAACCCTAAACTAAGTCCTCAGGCCAGTTCAGCTTATCCTTCCCCATGGGGGTCCTGTCTCTTAAGTCATAACAGCTTGCATCAAGTCCACGAATTTATGTTTTCTAGACTCCCATTTCGATGCTGGGGTAGTTTTGCCACTCGCCCCGGGTTCATCTGAATCCCACAGCAGGACCTCCCTTTTGGGATGTTAGGAACTACAGAAATCGGAGCTGGAGTCAAGTAATTATGACAGATGCCCAGGAGTAGATATATTTCAGTCAATCAACTCCCAAATATTAGGAGCATAGCATTAAGGTCTTTCTGTGTTTAAGCAAAGAACATTGCTCTATAGTAAAATATGAAAAGGCTATAGAGGAAATAGATAAGTAATTCACTACAAATACAAAATCCAGAATTACCAGTTTTGGCCTATAAGATTGACTTGGGGAACTGTGAAAATGAAGTGTAAAACACAAAGGAAAGGTTAAAGATAAATTCAGGGGATTAGGGATGCTCGCAAGAGCACTGTAAGCTTTGCTGGGAGGAGGAAAAGGGGCAATACACTGATGAAGCCTGAAATGCTTAGGATTAATATCCAACAGGGGAGGAAGCTTTGGGGACTTGAGTGGACAGCCAGAGGGCCAGCATGAGTCACAGGCCCAATGGGTTCCCAGCCTTGGTAGACCCCATGCCCCGGGATTGAAGGAGGTGCTCACCCAGCCTCACCCATGGATGTTCGCCTGAGTGGTGCCGGAACCAGAATCTGGGCAGACTGCCAGAGCCACCTCATCTTGGGTAAACTGCCATAATCCTCTAAACTTTGGGTTTTCCTTCAAAGACCTTCAACTCCGGATGTTTGTTGGGAGACATATTTGTGGAGTTCACGCCTTGTCAAAGTTTCTTAGATTGCAAATGTTGACGAGAGCACTTAACTTTAAGGAACTTTTGAGCTGGTGAACCAGCTTTTACAGCACAGTGGTTAAGGTGTTGCCCTAAGATCACACTGCCACGAAGGGAGGAGAGGCAGACGTGGGAGGAGGGCCCAGAGTTCAGTGCTCACCACCAGTGTACATAGCACACATTAAGCTCAGTGAAGCCAGGGAGCGAACACACAGCACCTCCTCCCGCAGTCTGGGAATCAAATCTAGGACCGCTCATGTATGAGGCATGTGCTCTAACACCGAGTCACACTCCCAACCCCTGGCAGCAACTCAGTGTGCTTTCAGGGTCCTGGGAGTGTCTGCAGCACCCAGTACCCACTGGGTTCATGCACACCCATTTCCCATCTGTTCTGGTTCATTCCTGCTGCCCTTCCCTGTCCAACCCACCGGCCGGGCCTCACCCTCCCTGTGCTAACAAGGGATTTGATAAGATGCTGGCAGGGCTGAAGAGCACAGCACTTCCTCTTTGCAAGAAGGGTCTTGAGGTGTGTGTGTGGGGGGTCCTCACCTGAGTCCCACAGGCTTGACCCAGATGAGTCAGGTTCTAGCCAGCTACAAGTGAGGCAGATAAGAGAAGGGAGTCTGTAGTCCCCTTGGGAAGACCTGAGCCTGAGATCCCCGAGTGATAGTCTCTGTGAACCTTGAGACCTTCCTACCCCTCCCTTCTGAGCAGAAGTATAAGAGCCACCCCCAGCTGCCATCTGTCCCATTCCTCACTCCAGCAGTTCTGCCCACAGGACCAGCTGCAGCACAGCTCTCAACATGACCTTCGTCCCTGCACCTGGCTACCAGCCCACCTATAACCCGGTGAGATACAGATCCAGGCCCTGATCTGGGCTCACCCTGGCCACCCCCCCACCCCCGCCAACTCGCCAGGTTCCCTAAAGCTCAGGGACTTGATTTACTTCCCACTGAAATTTCATTCTTAACACTCAACCCTTTTTTCGTGCTGACCCTCACCCCTGGGGGCTCTCTCTTGTGAAAGGGATTTGGGGGGACTTCCTCATGAGGGGACAAGGCCGCCCTGTACGCATGACCACTGAGTCCCTTTGCCCGGTGCCTCCTGCAGATACTGCCCTACAGCAGTCCCATTCCAGGCGGCCTCAGTGTCGGGATGTCCATCTACATCCAAGGAGAGACCAACGAGCACATGAGGAGGTGAGGGATCCCTATGCTGGGCTGGGCCACTGTCAGAGCCACACGGCCAGCAAGGATCACAGGGAGGTCCCCTCAGACCCTGGCACTGCTGGAGAGAACTCCCCCCAAATAGGAAAAATAGTCATCAGGCCCATAATACACACATGGTGATGGAGACCAATATTGAGATGGGGGAGGTGGGGAGGAGCTGGTCGTTGTCCCTCTGAATAGGGATGCCAAGGATGGTCTCCCAGGAGGGAACATTTCAGGAGGCACTGAAGGAGGAGAAAGGAAGTTTCTGGGGGTACATTTTATGGCAGGGCCTTGAAGGAGAAAGGAGGGCCTGTACAAAGACCTACGCCCCGGGGTTGACTGAGTACTGGAGAGCTCAGGGTGATCCAGAAGGGAATGCTCTGACTTTAGTGCTTTAGGGCTCTCGGCTTGCATGGCTGGAGGGTCAGGGAGGCCTGAACTGCGAGAGCTGTGGGAGCTGGGACAGTGCCCAGAGAATCTGAGTTGGAGTTGGGGGTGTCAGTGAGTAAGAGAAGAGAAGGAGGCCCTGGGAATCTGTCTCTCTACCTGTTGGGACTCAGGGCGATGCCCGCCCTCCCGCCCCCCACTGCCCTTGGTTAGTAGTTCCATTCACCCCCTCTGCTCCCACCTCCCATCACCCCGAACCACCCCAAGGTGGGACTGAGAGGGCTTCCTGGAGCTCCTATCCAGTCCTAGCAACTTGGCTGGAACACTTGGGGAACAGATCCTGTCCCCCAGGTTCGCAGTGAACTTTGCCATGGGGCCGGAACCAGAGGCCGACATCGCCTTCCACTTCAACCCCCGCTTTGATGGCTGGGACAAGGTGGTCTTCAACTCACGGCAGTCAGGCCAGTGGAACGAAGAGGAGAGGAAGAAGAGCATGCCCTTCAAAAAGGGGGAGCCCTTTGAGCTGGTGGTGATGATCATGCAGGAGTATTACAAGGTCAGAGTCAGGTGCCTCTCGATCTCTCCCTGCCCTCAATTCCTCTGCTTCTTTTATTACTGACTTTGATTATATTGATTTGTTTGCCAGGGTATATTGGATGGCTGTGGGGGACTGTGTGGTGTACAGAGTCAAACCTGGGCCTCATACCCAGCATGAACTCCAGCCCCTCTTGTAGAGTTATCTCTCCACCTCCATATTTTTCTTTTTACTTTTATTTTATTTTTGGGCCACATGTAGCAGTTTTGGGTTTATGCCTGGCTTTGCACTCAAGGATCACTTCTGGCACGCTCAGGAAACCATTTGGGATGCTGGGGATTGAACTTGGGTTGGCTGCATGCAAGGCAAATACTCTGGCCCCCTTACTGCCTTATTTTTTCAGAGTCAGGTGCTAGTTAGGATCAGGCAGTCTCTGTTTAAAACTAGACCTCAAGGGACCAGAGAGATAATACAAGTGGTTAGGGCACTTGCCTTGAACGTGGCTGACCAAGTGATCCCTGAACGCAGAGCCAGGAACAAGCCCTGAGACGGTCCCCACCCCCAATTAATCCCTCCCAAACCCAAAAACCCCAAGCAGACCTCAAAGTCCAAAACAGAGTCTGACTTGATTCTTTCCCAATCTCAGATCATGCTTTCCAACCACTCTCATTGACCATCTCTGAGCTATTTCTCCTTTGGTACCTGGCTGGAACCCAGGACTTCACTTCAATCAAAGCATGTATTTTCTGCTGAGCCACCTCTCCTCACTTGTGGAACTGACCTTTGACCTCAGTTTGACTTTAGAACTCTTGAGCTCCTGATTGAGGTTCCAGCTCACCTCTCAGACTTTGATCAGAGTGAAAATTTCCTTGTTTCCTGTTTTCACCTTTCCACGGTTACTGAGTTATTGACAACCTTCCCCTTTCCTTCCAGGTGATGGTGAATGGAAATCCCTTCTATGAGTTTGGGCATCGGATCCCAATCCAGGCGGTTACTCACTTGCAGGTGGATGGGGACTTGACAGTCAGATCCATCAACTTCATTGGTGGCAATCCCACCCCCAACCAGGTAGGTGGGAAGTTTGTCTTCCTTCCCTTCTCTTCCCTTCCCCTTCCTTCCTTCCTTCCTTCCTTCCTTCCTTCCTTCCTTCCTTCCTTCCTTCCTTCCTTGCTACCTTCCTCCCTCCCTCCCTCCCTCCCTCCCTCCCTCCCTCCCTCCTTGTGGTTGATTTCCTTTTTTTTTTTGGTCACACCTGGCGATTATCAGGGGTTACTCCTGGCTCTGCACTCAGAAATTACTCATGACAGTGCTCAGGGGACTGTATGTGATGCTGAGGATTGAACCCTGGCAGCTTCGTGCAAGACAAATGTCCTACTGGCTGTACTGTCACTCTGACCCCTGTTTGAT